ATTCACACCTTACCAGATATGAATGTAGTGACACAGAAAAGGATTTGACAACCAAGGCAAAAAGAACATGAGTTACACTTGAACAGTATTGAAGGTAATCCTGTGAGAGAGTATCTGAGCAGTATGAAGTAGTAGTGAAGCAATATTCTGTGTGTATTTCTTCTTCAGACAAGAAACTGGAAAGCACTTAAAACTGGTTAAGCAAATAATTAAATATTTTCTGAAGAAATGCAGGTATCTCAGTTTACTTATGTGAGAGGAGAATGTAAGCAGCTATCAAGGTGTCTCTTAAACTAAATATACCAGGATGTGCTTTGAAGATCAGTTCGTGTGACTGTAGCATGGGTAAACCCAATTCAGTGGACATTTCCACTGTGCATCTCCAGTTGTGGCACATCTGTACAGAACTTTCATTTTGGACTAGATAATTCATCCTGCAACAACTGCTTGGAATCTGACCACACTGGAGCTTCCTGTCGCCCTGAGGTGAGGAGGTTTCTACAAAATATTATGAAAGACTAGGCTGGAAAGAGAAAGGCACCAGGATATTTTCTGATCAAAATGCTGATTCCTTTAAGAATTTTCAGGATTCACTTGAGATGCTCTGAGTTCTTGTCAGGGCAAAACTTGGCAGAGGCAATCAGAACAATGCGGAGCTTTGATGACTGGTTATCTTGCTGAAGAGCAGATGGATGCAGACCACACCCTGTTCCTGAAGAGCAGCTGCAGCCATTGGTCTATACCTTGAGGCTACCCTGCAGAACCAGAAGTATAAAAGAAGACATGGATTTCCCCACAAAGAGATGGACATGGGAATCCAGTGACTGAGCCAGGTGTAGCAGGTAGCACTGGGACCAAGAGATCCACTGGCTAGAAGCCAGAGAAACCTCAGACTAGAAATACTGTCTAATATTTCATCAGATTCCTCCTCACCAAGTCTGCATGCGGGGACTTAGTTAAACTGAAGGAACAAACCTGATAGAGATGCCAGGGTAAAATCTCTAGTTTTGTCTAGCCTTTTATACATTCTTATATAAGACCAGATTATCTCAACAAATCCTACTGACTGGAAAATCCCTAATTAAAGCATATTTTAGAAACTATTTCCATCATGTCCATATCACTGAAATTGTCCCCTTTATTGAAATAAGTTCTGTTCTGATTAACTCCTGATGACCTTCCTAGTCTCCCTAGTAACCTCTATTAGTTCAGCATTGCTCCAAATGATTTACCGTTTTAGGTTTATATATATATATAGAATCAATTTTTTACATAAGCCTGTAGGCCACTGAACTCACCACACTATTTTCAGTCTTAAATAATGTTTGCATGAGTAAAAATTCAAAATCAGGACTTCTGTGTCACCTTTAGATTAATTCAGTTGCATCTGAATTACTCTGTACAAATTATTACTATTCAGAGAAATTGCTAAGAAATAAAAGTTAGTGTCATTGTCATCCACCAGCCTTTGAAAGGTTCCTGTCAGTGTGTTACAATCACTTATAATTAGTACTTGTCTCTGCTGCTCTTTACCAACTAAGTTATGATATCGTTATTTTACTCATGCGCGTGATCAATTTAAGATGCAGTGCAAGAAAGAGTTATACAGGTAATTCAAAAAGTGCTACTCTCTTCTATCATAAATGGTACTACAAAAAAGGAGTTTGAGATGGTCATTTTTGGTTTTCTGCGAATTCAACACTTATGACTCTTTTAGTTTATATATATATATTATAGCCCAAACCAAAGCAACTCACTTTCAAACAGTGCATAAACCTAGTCCATTTAAGTGGTCCTACCTATTAGGTGCTCTGTTTGACCATATTAATACAATTCCTCTAGAGCTTCAAAGAAAAACACCTATTCTCCTGATGCCCTTGTAATCTACTCTGTAGACAGACTCGTGTATTCAGAAAAAGAAGTTGAACAAGCTCAACAAGTGCTCACCTGTAAACTTTTCTGCCCAGCTCAAAAAAGCTTGAATATGCAGCAAAGGTGGTTTTTTTAACATCAGGCATATTTAATAAACAGAAAGTTAAAAGTAAATGAAAATTTGTTTCAATTTGCTGACTTTTCTTTATTTAACAGATTGACATAGTTTGAAGGTTTCCTTGAAACTGCTGTAAGAAGATTATGTGCAAAGCATATAAGTATTTCTCAGTATTTAGGTCTCTTTAAACTATACCAACAAAAGAAAATATTAACAAACTTTCAATAAAATAAACTGTATTTTAAACCACTGGGACTGCTGAATAACAAGTTCTTTGTTGTCACATCATGAACAAAGAACGTAAGAGTGAGGATAATAATGAATAAACACCACAGATGTTCAAATGAAACAGTAAATCACTATTATCAAGCACTAAGAAACCAACATTGTTATGACAGGCTTAACTCTGATCCACGAATTTATAGGAGAGGAAAACGTAGGCTGTATTATATATTTTCCTAACAGATACTTTGAAAAGAAAACATCAGTTGACATTTGTACCTGCTGACAGTTGCATTTCAATAGAGCATTTATAATTGTTTTAGAACATCAGACTACAAAACGAAAGGGAAGCTATGGCCAAACTTAAGTTAAGCTTACAATATACTTTTAGGCATGCTGACCACCACATACCATTTAAAGAAGTATAAATTAAAAGAAAAGTTACAGTTATGGTGTACCTGTATGGGTGGAACTAAGAAAAAAACATTAATTATATTGTCAGTTCTTATGCTCTGCCTATCAATTATCTGTTTATTTGAATTCAACAAGAATAATGGGTTTGCTGAACATTCAGGACTGCAGTGCCTGCTGGGTAAGTACTCTTTCCCTGCACACATCTTGTAGAAAGGCTCACAGCCCAATTTCTGCTACAGAAGAGATATCTGCTATTGACAAAAGTAGTCCTTCAAAATACTGACCCCTTAAATTAAATCAAGGGCATTGGCCATTCTGACCCGTTAGTGCTGAAGGTGAAGAACTGGAGGTAAACAACTGCTTTATGGGAAAGAGTTCCCAGACTTTGGTGTAATGTTTGTGTAATGTACATCTTCTGGAGCAGTATCTTAAAAGAATAAACTCTTGGTTGGGCTCCACTTCCAGTGCCCTTGCTTAGGCTTTAGCTCCATTTGTTGCAGCTGAAGCAACTTTATTCATACTCAGCACAAAGTACTTTGTGTATACATGCATACTAAAAATGATGCAATTTGCATCCTTTTAAAAATATGTGTTGAAAAGGCAGACTGGCTCCTGAAAGATAGTTTTAGAAAAACTGGCAGAGTTGGTGCAGCCTGGTCTACTCTTGAGAAAAAACATTACTCCTGTGTTTTAGTTTGAGCTTCAAGGCAAATCTTCGGCTGAAACTACAGAGAGGCATCCAAAGAAGCAGATAAATAGTATTTCCATCCTACTTTGGAGCAGACTTTAAAGAGTGTCAGAGGTCCTAAGATCCCCACAAACACCCAAGAATTGCAATGCACTACATACCAGAGAATCCCGATCTGCACCCCATGTCCATTTGAGGTCACTTAAAAGAAAAAAAAAAAAAAAAAAAGGAAGGGGGGGAGAAATCTTGCAAACACCATTGTTCCATGTAGCCTCTGAAAAAAAAAGTCAAGGCTGAAAACAGTTGATTCAGATACATGGCTATTCATAGCAAAGGTTCCCCTTTATCTGAGATGTCCTGGAACACAGAACAAAACAATGCATGTAAGTTACCTCTTTTTCTCACTTCTTATCACCTTATTTATAAATTATAATGTTAATGAGATGCATCCATAGTAATCTACACCTAGTTTTATAACCCCACAGTCTGACAAGCAAAGCAAAATATTTTTTTAGGTAGTTCTCCTCCTTTGTAACAAAGTCTTTGAACTGATAAATTAGCATGCATATTCTTTTCTCTCAAACCACTTGATAATTTCTTTCACACCTGAAGTACACTATGATCATTAAGAAACATTCTGAAGATGCACAGCTGCACTGGTATCATTTTCATCAATGCCTTTGAAAAACACTTCCATAATTTATCAAGGTTTTAAAAGACACAGGTTAAGAAAAGTATAATCAGTGGTTTTTTGACTAGGATAACACAGCAGCCTTCTGAAGATGAAAGACGTGGTGAGATCAACGTACCTCACACATCATTCAGTGTGGGGAAGGGGTGTAGAGTATGATGGACTTTAAAAATTTTTAATAGAATTTTTCCCTTTATTTTCTTTTTTTTTTTTGTCAGCCTTTACACTACACATTTTTATATCCTCTAGAATGATAACTTCTTTCATTTAAAAGAAACACACACTGAGCAACAGTAAAATACCCTTTATTTATACTTAAAGTGCTGCTTTGTGATTTTTATAAGTGAAACCTGTGGAATGGTTCACATTAGCTCTGCATCGTTAATGAAGTTGAAATATCACGTTGCTTTTCGTTGTTATGGGTACTAATAACACATGACCACAGCTGTACCAAACTGTTGTTTCTTCAGAGGTCTCCAGCTCAATTTTCTAACTGTCCCTTAAAACGCGCGTTTCCAACTTCTGGGACTTGAGCAGCTGCGCTGCTCCATCGCACGCGTGAGGCGGATGCCGCTGCCGAGCGCTGCAGCGGCGGGAGCGGGTGCCGCGCGGGGCCCCGCACAGGTGCCGCTGCCGCCGTGGGTGCCCCGCACNCCCTCTCCCCGCAGCCGGGGACGGGCGGCACCGCGCGGGGGGCCCGCGGCGCCGGGCCGCCCTCGGCACGGGGGGACTTCAGCAGCGCCGAGCCGAGCCTGGACTCACCGACCCGCCCAGCGAATAAGTGGCATGCGGCTGAAGTTTTACTTTGCCGGTGCCGGCTCCCGCCGCAGCCGCCCGCGGGAGCCACAGCAGCACCGACACCTTTGCTGGTCGAAGTTTGGCGGCGCAACAAGCCGCCTTCTCCTTCTCCTGCCCCTGCCCCCGCCCGGAGCCCCGCGCTCAGCCCGGGCGCGGTTCGCGGGTCCGGAGCGGCGGCGGGGCAGCTCCGTACTCACCCGCTCCCCAGGCGCACGGTCAGCAGCAGCAGCAGCAGCCGGGCCCCGCGGCGGCCGATCCAGCGGGGCGCGGGGCCCCCCCACGCATCCATGAGCGTGAAGGCGCTCTCCCTCGCCCGAGTTTTCTCCGGAGAGCCTGGGAAATTGCGACCCTACCGATCCCACCACCCCGCGGCACACGGCAGGGAGAGGGAAGGGAGGGGAGGGGAAGGGGGGGAAAAAATAAAATAAAACACCCAAACAGGTAGAAACCCACTCTGCAAGGACCGAGCAACTCGCCCAATAGGCTCATCAGGTTGCTTCATAAATTATCCTAAAAACTGCTGGACGAATCAATCCCTAGCAGAGGTGGAGCCTCCTTTACTAGAAGGGAAACATGCCTGGGAGGAAGGGTGGCATTGATTTGGTTATTTTTCTCCAAAGAGGGAAATGGACTAGACCTTACGTATATACATGTAAATATAAATAAGCAAAATGTATAAAATGTTAAATACATGTTTAAAGCTACACATATACATTTAAATATTTCTATTTTTGAGGCTACTCAGAGGGCGACTCTCAGAGACGCAGGCGGTCCGGTCCTCCCTGCCTAGCGGAGACCCGCAGCCGGGAGCAGAAGCACCGCGGGGATGCGCCCGGACACCCGCGAGGTCTGCGCGCGTCTCTACGTCTGGCACGATCGAGATTTTGAGGGGGGGGGCCCTAGCCGCGGGGAAGGGGGCATCCGCCATCCCTCGTTCGTCCCCAGGAGAGGGAGCACACCCGTGCAGCCGCAGTGCCCACAGCCGTGCTGGAGGCGGGCGGCACGCCGGGCGCGCAGGGGCAGCCGCGGGAGTTGCGCGCCGCCCAGGCGCGAGCGGCGCAGGCTCGGCGGCTGCAGCGGCTCTGCGCGGCCGCGGAGCGCCGGGGGGGACGGGCGGGAGGCGGACGATGTGCCAGGGCGTGCAAAACGCAAGGGTACGGGTTTTTTGTTGTTTGTTTTTTTTTTTTCATTCTTTTTCCCTTCTTGTCTCCTCTCGGCTGCTCCCTCCTCCCGGGTCTCTCTCCGGAGATGTAGGCGGGAAAGTAGCCAGGCATGCCCCCGGCAGCCCCGCACACACACACCCGAACCCGGGCAGAAAAGCGCCGCGGCCGCGGCAGACGCCGCAGGTTCCGCGCTCGCAGGCTTTGACCGGCTGTGGGGCGAGTGGGCACGTCCCGGGGGAACAGCGCTTAGATAACGCGTGTTTCTTCTTTCGGCTTCAGGCTGCCACCAACCCAAACCCCTGGCCGGATTGGCGATGCCCTTGTTCGCGGCTCTCTACAGGGCACTTAGGGAGTAACCTGTGCACCGAATTCTCGGTGGAAGTAGCAAACCATGATACAGCCATCATCATCATCCTCCTTTGAGTCAAGCTGTCACTGTACAGAAATTTAAATAATCCCCCGTCCAGTGGTTCTTCCTATGAAAAGCAGTGTTATGTCTTCCTTACACTTCATCATCTGGTTATTTTATATATACAGCTTACTGCTTTAATGGTTAAAGAAACTCACCATGCTTCAGAGCGCTGCAGTACATTAAATGAACATTCAACAACTTGAAAATTAATAGCCAGTCCTGGGGATACTGGCAGACGGTAAAGGCACATATTATTGGATGACCTGAGGTCTCTTTACTGGTGGATTAACACAGCAGGCAGCATCCTAGCATGATGGCGAAGGCATGAGCTCAGAGCATATGCATTTATTACAGAGTAAGTGCAGAAGCAGCTCCTCTGCTGCAGCTGGTGGCACTAGCTCCAAGAAGCAGGATTGCTGATTCTCTCAGCAAGACAATGGGCACAGCCCACCCCCAAGTCCCCCTCAGGAAGTCCCTCTGCCCTGAAAATGGCCATGGTCCTTAGGTTTATTAGAAATTTATCTGTCAAATTGACTGCATTTTGCAAAATATGCAATGAATGCTTATGTCTTTGCATTCTGATGTCTGTGGAATCATTAAAGCTCTTTACCAGTGTATAAAATTCCACCCTGTCACTGAAAGATATGCAATTAAAGTAACTACTGCAAAAATTTGACATTAGAAGTTTAAACATACTTACAGGATACCAAGACATCTTTCTACATGAGCAGTTTGGAGCATCTACTTAAAAACTTAATTTCACTCCGGTGTAGATCCAGCAGCTTGCTAGCAGTGAAAGAGGTGGAAGATTACAGCTAAAATAACATGCAGCATGAATAGTGAGAAAATGGAATTTTTCATTTGATTTTGGGGTTGAGAACAGTAAGGCATATAGAAGTACTGTTAAAAAAATTAAAATAAAAGCAGTGCAAATGGTATTTCTCAAATGACACAAAACTAAGGATAACATCTGGACAAGCTGATTTGAGCTAGTCTCAAATTTTTCTTGTACTTTCATGTAAACAATAGAAATCCATCCCTCTAAAAACTAGAAAAGAAATTATTCCGTAATTAAGTAAAATACTAGATGAGAAGTAGGTATAAAATTTTGAAGAGCAAACGGGGAACAGAAAATAACAAAAAGAAAACTTTCACCATCAGAAGAAAACATGAAGGGAAAGAAATCAACTCAGACTGTCTGTATTCCTAAGGAAAATAAAAAAACCAATAAATGAATTTTAACTGCAAGATAGAAAAGAGAATATCAAAGAAAAGCTGGGGAAATCACCTACTTGAGTGTCAAAAGGAGACGTTGATACAGGACAATATACTGAAAGATAGTGAGTTAGTTACTAAGACCTGCAACTATTTCTCCTCTGCTTGGTACTGGCACAGGTGACCTGACAAGAGTATTTAAATTCTCAGTTAAAAACACCTTCTGATGCTGGAAGTAAGAAGGCCATCTTTAAAAAAAAAAACACTAAGGTGAAGAAACGAGTTAATAATGCCTCTTCAGACCTGCTAAGCATCATTTCAGAAACATCAAATTAACCAAAGTTAAAGAAAACTGTAGGATTCACATCACTACTATTACTAAGGAGGAACAAACCAGAATGGCTTCTGCAATGGAAAACCACATTTCTATCTTCTTCAGTCATATTTAATGAGTCTATCAATAGAAGAACAGAGCTTCATAATTTATTGTCTTTCAAAACCATTTTAGGTCTGTCAGAAATTTGTTAAAGAAGATGCATAGTTTTGGGGTCAGTAGGAAAGTAATGCCAACTTTCAGAAACTGCTTGAGACTACTGTTAGCAATTAACTATCCATGTTAAACAGTTGAGTTCTTACAAATCTGATCTTGAGACTATTGTATTTAACTGATTACTCGCTGAACTAATGGTTTCAAAGAGAAGAAACAAAAATTTGTAGATGAAAGTTTCAGAAAGTCTGTAGGAAAAAAAAAGTTAATATCATCACAGTGTAGAATATCAATTATAAAATGGGAAGTGATGATGTGCTGACAAATGGAAAAATAAAAATAATTAATGGGTTACATTTGGTAAAGATTGTAAGTACCTAAATGTAAAATCACATCTCAGCTATCAGCTCTGCTGCTGCCTAGTAGTAGAAAATCAAGAGAAGACATATATTCAGAATTAACTGAAATTTCTCCAGGACTGTAGAGGAATACTCATACAAACAGGAGGAGCACTAATTTGAGCAGCTCAGCACCTAAAGTTCGCCCAAGCTCACTGGAAAACTTTCTCTACTCTTCAGATTTAAGGAGTGCAAGGATAATCCAATGTAAAAGACCTCTAAAACACAGCCAGGCTAGATTACCAGCTTCCTAATTTCTTAAAAGTGTAATTATTGATTTGGATTCCATAGTAATACACCTAACCTCATGCACTATAAAAGGAGTAATAGCACTTAGCACAAGCTCTTGATTTCCAGTCTGGAACTCACCTATTCAACCACAAGGTACCTACAATCTGTGATTCATCTAAAAGTACATGAGAAAGAATTTTCATTATTAAAGCTGAAGTCCAAATAGAAGGGAGAGGAAAAAAAAATCTGCCGCATTAATAAATAAAAAGCAAATATCACTCTATTTTTCACCTGGGAGGCTTCACACTTAGTATTGAAGAGCATTTTGATTCTTCACAATTCAATTGCTCAGGACCACAGAGGAACTTAAAAACACTCTTATGTAATTTTACATAGCTGACATCCTACATCTGCTGTATTTCTCTTGGATATAGCTACTTCTCTGACAGGAGCATATGAGGATTGATGCCAGATTTGTATGCCTGCATACCATTTTGAGTGCATAAGAGCCTTGAAAACGTGGACTTAGTGGATGGCCCATCTTCGTTCACTGTGCTTGAGGGAAGTTAATGGCTCTCATGTGGTTCTTTAAGGAGCACTTACCTGCTGAGAACAAAGTTATCCAGCATGTGGAGATGGAAGAACAAATTATTATGGTGTTCTGTCCTCCACCAAAAAATCCCCATATAGAACAGCAAGAGCTCAAGGACCACTGCAGTCATGTCTTCAAAAGGGTAGGTTTGCATAACAATATTTTGATGAAATTGCATATGCAGACCTTAACTGTGTATTCACAAAAGAATTTCCTGTGTGCACCTCACACCTTAGATTTATAGAATCAGAGAATACTTTAGGTAATCTAACTTTAAAGGTAATCTAGTCCAATCTGCTTGTCATGGGAAGGGACAATTTCAAAATATACACACATGTCATTTGTGTGCTTGCATTTGAGTAAGCACAAACATAAAAACAGAGTCACATGCATGGTATTTAAAACCTGTAACCAAATGAAAACACTTCCATTCTTCTTAGGGAAGTTCAGAAAATGTGGTTTAAAATATGCATCATCATGGTTAATCCTACCTGAATATAAATTTAAAGATCTATCTTAAACAGCACAGTAGCATAGTACTACAATAAATGTAAAAACACCTCAAAAAATAAAGAAAACTAATGAAAACATTTTGGTACTGGCCTTTTTAAAACAGGCCTTTAGACTTGATGGTGGTGGATATCCACAGGAGGAGATGAGAAAGATGCAGAAATGTAACTTCAGTGCATCTTGTATTTTGTGATTTGAACCACAAAATAATTGCTTTCAGTGAAACAGTCAACATCTTAATAGAAAATAAATTATAAAATTCTCACCTTTCATAACTAAATACTATTTTAATTGAGATTTCATCTCTGTACATTGATTTAACTGCTCACATTACTCATTAAAATGATTACTAACATACACACATCTTCAGTTGCACTTAAAAATTAAGCAAGGGAAGTAATCTCAAGTAGAGAAAAGCTGATGAAGAAGGAAGACGGCACCTATCATTGAATC